ACAATATATACACAATTTAGAATAATACAGTTTATATATATGTATATATATATATATATATATATACAGAGGAAGGCTCTCATGCTGTTCAAAACAATGGACCTTTCAACGGACCAAAAGTTAATTAGGAAAATTACACTTTATTACTGTATCAAACCTAACCATAGTTAATTTACCGTAATTAGTCAATACATTTCCATGGCAGGATTAAGCAATATATGCTTTCGGTTTGAAACTCCATGATTGGAGGTTGTACTTATTCACTAACCTTAAAAATTTGGTATCCTTTGAACAAAAAAAAAAAAAAAAAAAAAGTTTATTCACAAAGTGTGGAATAATGGGTCAACGAAAAAAATAAAAAATAAAAAATAAATAAGAGAGCAACAGGATAAAAATAAAAATAAAAATAAATAAAAGTATATATTACTTAATCCTGCCATAGAAAGGTATTAGTTAATTCTGGTAAATTAACCGTGGTTAAGTCTGATAAAGTAATAAAGTGTAATTTTCCTAATTGACTTTTGGTCGTTGAAAAGTCTGTTGTTTCTAACCGCATGAGAGCCTTCATGCATACATAATTTATTGGAGAATGAATATGGTAGTTGTGTTGTGACTATAGTGGTGAAAATGGTGGGTGTGATGGTGTGGGTATGGAGGTAGTGGTTGAGATTGTAAGGAAGAGATTAAGAAGAGAGAGATTGAATAATGACATTGACTAATTATAGTAAATTAACTGTGGTTAGGTCTAATAAAGTAATAAAGTGTAATTTTCCTAATAGACTTTTGGTCCGTTGAAAAGTCTTGTTGCGTCGGAGAGCATGAAGCAATGGACCAAAAGTTAATTAGAAAAATTACATTTTATTACTCTATCAGACTTAACCACAGTTAATTTACCATAATTAGCCAATACCTTTTCATGGTAGGATTAAGCAATATATACTTTTATTTATTTATTTATTTATTTATCCTGATTGTTGCTTTCTTATTTATTTTTTATTTTTTCGTTGACCCATTATTTCACACTTCATGAATAAGTTTTTTTTTTTTTGATCAAAGGATACCAATTTTTTAGGGTTCGTGAATAAGCACAACTTCCAATAATGGAATTTCAAACAGAAAGCATATATTGCTTAATCCTGCCATGGAAATGTATTGACTAATTATGATAAATTAACTATGGTTAGGAAGGCTCTCATGCTGTCCGAAACAACAGACTTTTCAATAGACAAAAAGTCAGTTAGGAAAATTACACTTTATTATTTTATTAGACCCACCATTTTCAACACTACAGTCACAACACAACTACCATATTCATTCTCCAAAATTGGATCTAGGTCATTGTCAATCTCTTTCTCTCTCTTCTTTTTGCACTTTGATTTAATTATTTTTTTTTTTTTTTGCTTTCTTTCTTTATTTTTTTTTTACCTTGATGGCCTGACTGTTGCTCTCTTTTTTATTTTTTATTTTTTTTGTCAACCCATTATTCCATACTTCGTGAATAAGCTTTTTTTTTTTTTTGTTGTTGGGTTCAAAGGATACCAATTTTTTAAGGTTCGTGAATAAGCACAACCTCCAATAATGGAGTCTCAAACAGAAAACATATATTGCTTAATCTTGCCATGAAAACAATAAAAGGTCTCTAAAATTGGGTTTTCTGGAATTCCATAGCTCAATACTGAGATAGAAATAAGAAAATTCTCCAAATTCTGGTAATTTGCTCGCTTTCATTCCCATTTACATTTTCACTCATTACATTTTTCCTCAAATTTTATGTCACAAATACAATTATGGTAAATTAACTATGGTTAGGTCTGATAAAGTAATAAAGTGTAATTTTCGTAATTGACTTTTGGACAACATGAGAGCCTTCTTGTATATGTATGAGTGTGTGCGCACGCATTAGAGAAGGAAGAGCATATGAACACCATTCAACAAGAGGAGTGAAGGACAAGAATATGTTCAACGAACACCATTCAACATGAGATCTTCCAAATCCATCAAACAACTTCATTGATAATGATCCCATTATCTCTTTTCTTTTTTATTTCTTTTTACCTTTCCCAAAAAAGAACTTCATTGATAACATCTTGAAAGTTTTAGGGTTGGAGTTTATGGAATTCCATTAATTGATAAGTGATGAAATTGATATATATATATATATATATATATATATAGGAAGAGAGAGAGAGGGAAAGTCAATTATTGAAGTTGAGTTTCTGGATTTCAAAATTCTTACCAGTAAATTGTCTTTGAATGAGATTGAACAAAAGGGACGGGAGAAATACATAAAGTAGGAGGGGCAATGTGGTAGAGAAGAGAGGATGCGGTGGTGGAGAGAAGTGGCAGGGGAGAAAGAGAAAGATAGGAAGTATGTGGAGCGCGGTGGTGGACCGGTGGTAGTGGTGGAAGGAGGGCCCTGTGATGGAACGAGAGTGGTGGTAGGGTAGTGAAACTGCAAGGGTAATTTATCAGGGGCAGACCGGTAAATTAATTTTTGTTGCTTACCACATGAAGTGGTACTCCGTTTAATAATATTAAGGGTATTTGAGTAATTGTACAACAAAACTATGTTAACCCATTCTTAAATTCTGATAGGGGGTGTGGGAGTAGACTTTTCAAAACTTTAATCTACAAGTAATAAAGGAAAACCTTAGGGACGTCAAGGTAATATATCCTAAAGTTTAAATTGGTTCAACTAAACACTAAAATGATCATTATCATTCCATTACTACATATTTTACATTTGCAACTAAATAATAGAATGAGAATGACCATTCCACAATTCCATTCACATTCTCATCCTATTCTCACTTGCATTACATTCTATTCCTGCACATCAAACGCAACAATACATCATACATTCTTTGTTTTTTTATTAAAGTACTTATGTTACGTTTGATGTGCATGAATGGAATGGAATGAGAAAGGAAATGGAATTCTCATTCTCATTCTATTATTTGATTGTAAATATGAAATGTGTAGGAATGAAATTATAATAACCATTCTACTATTTGGTTGAGCCAATTAAAAATTTAGAATGGAATAAATTTCAAATTGAGTTCTCCAAAATATCCCTCTTAGTAACAAATAAATTAAATTAATAAAATGACATTCTACTATAATTTTTAAAAAATAAATGGTGGCGGTGGCGGTGGCGGTGGCGGTGGCAGTGCTGGATGGTGGTGACAATGATGGTGGAGGTGAAAAGCAGTAGCGTTGTTGAAATACGACGGTGGTGGCAATGATAGAAGGCGGCAGCGGCGGTGTTGTTGGAAGGCAGGACCGATGGGGAAAGGAAGAAGGAGAGGCAGAAGAGGAGGGGGTTTGTTGATAGGAGGAATTGAGGAACGCTATAAACCACAGACGGAGCGAAGTCAGAGAATATCGATGCGAGTGTTGAGATATTTGTTTGCTATCAATGAGAAGAGGTCTATTGGGAGTTGAGACCAGTCTACTCTGCCCCTCTCCGCCAATTTTGTTTGTTTCTGCGACTGGGTTTGGAACTTTAGAATTTCATGAGAATTGGATTTTAAAAAGAGAATTTCAATTGTTTGGGAAAATGGAATTTTAAAAGGAAAAGGATTAGAAGGGATTTCAGGATAAATATCGTAAGCTTCACAAATCCGGGAAAATTTGGAGAGAATTTGAACTACTTTTGGTAACTAACTACTTCAATTACCAAAATCACCTCTTCTATTAATTGCTTTTACATCTCTCCTCCTACCAAACTCATTCACGTCTGCCATTCCAAACATACAAATAAAATTCTATTTTAATTACAATTCAAATTTTTTTTTTTTTTTCAATTCTAATTCCTAATCCCAAAAGAATTCAGTTCAAACAAAGCATAAATTATCTCAAAATGGTTATAGAACGGCTATGGATATTCACAGTATACGAAATACTGTAGTGTTTTTCTTACTATTCAATCACAACACAACAAAAATATTGTTTTTGCTTTATATGAAATTAAAAACACAAAATAAAATGGTTAGCAAACGAGTCTCTTTTTCAAATTTCAAAATAATTACAATTTGTTATTTTAGTATCATACAATAAATTAACCTTGCAAATTTGTAGTATATTTTCCTACTACCTCAAACTTCAAAACTTGCAAAATGTGGGGATAAAAGAAACAGTGTCACATGCGTGATTAAAAATTTATGGTAAATGGCATTCATACCCCCTCAAATTTGCTTTTAAAAATTTATAAGTGGAGGGATAGGTAAGGAGCTAACGATTCAAACCAGAAACCAGATTCCGAAAAGAATTGGCATATTGCTTTTTTAAATATGTTGTTTTAGTAATTTGGATGTCAAATTGACCCCAAATATAAAAAGGCTGTTCCGTACTCGGTATCATATTCAGTCCTTGAGCAATATAGGACAATCACTTCATTGCATCTAAAAGTAGTTCAAATTACTAAAACAAACCGGTTTGTCTTGATTGGAATATTTTCACTTCAAATTACTTGAACAAACCAGTTTGTTTTGATTGGGATATTTTCATTCAAAGATTTAATATTTACTCGTTAAAACACTCTATGTATTCAAAGGGGTAAAAAAAATCATTAAGGTGTGGGAACTGAGAACAAGTCATCTCCCTATTAGTTAACTTTCTAGATTCAAATGCAAGTTTCAATTAGAAACTAACCTTGGTTCCTATTACCTCCGGACAATCTTTTCTAACTTGAAATCCCTACATGGCACAAAGTGATTGTCACCTTTCTCTGATCTCATCTATTCCAAAAATTCTCAATAAATTCTTTTCATTGTCAGTTTCGCTCATTGGCCGATGGGATAGTATGCCCTTATCGAATATTTGTTCTGTTTTAGACGAATCATAAATTCTTTTCATTGTTAGCTTCTTGGTTTTAAGATTTGTTCAGTCCCCGGGGTAGTCAAATATTGTCAATCAGTGCAATATAATTCATCTAATTCAAACCACAAGTAGTAAATATACACAATAAACACACTAACTCAGTCATGAATGCCCAAATCTGTTGCCAAAAGAACACAATTTTATCCTTGCTACACTGTATCTGTGTACATACTACAAATCAAACTGACTTGGACACAAAAAAGAGTTAACCTATATAACTAGTGCTAAGCATGTCCATATGTTCTTCAATTACATCATAAAAGCACCACCATCCCTAGAAGTGCAAAAAGTCCCATATCAGCTCATCCTGCGGAGATCAAATAAACACAGTAGAATAAATTTCCATATTCGAGAAAAGGATTACAAGGCTCCTCATGAACACATAAAACATATTGTGATATACAACTAATTTAGGACTTGAAACATTTTCCTTAGGTAAACTGACTGATGCTACCTACCAATGGGCATTAGCCCAGATGGTATGATCTCTCCTCCCAAAAGGGGAGTTTGAGTTTTCAAGCATGCTAGGGTCAATATTGTGGTTGTGTTTACGTTTGCTTGAACTTTCCAGGAGGGAAAAAAAAAATGTCCAACACAACCTCGCAGAGCATCCATCAAGATAATGAAGGAAGAAATAATTGGCTTGTAAGGAGATTTGTTGTCGAATTAAATCATAAAGCACTCACTAATTTTTATATGGAGACGTGTGAAAAGCTAAAGCCCACAATTTGAGCCCGGATGCATCATTTAGCATATGGTAATATAACTGCTTCTTGACAGGGTCTAGCAAACATAGCAGAAGTTCAAACATTTAAGTACTTATTTCATTGTTTTGTAGAAAATGCACCATGTCAATAGTTAATTGAAGTAACTCATACTAATTTTAACTCAACAAGAAGTTTTCTATATGATTTTCTTCTCGTATGCTTTAATTGAAGTAAGATTCACTGGCTTTACTCGGTCAAACGTGTTCTTCATTTCTGTTGAACACTACAATCACCTTACAAACAAATATAAGTTCATTTCAAAAAAAAACTGTTGAAATATCTATATTATTATTATTATTATTATTTTATTAGTTGTTTTCAACTTTTTATTAAGTGTTTTATGTAAGATCCCTATTATCATGGGATCACGTAGATAAGATCCCCATAATCATGGGATCAGGTAGATTTTGGCATATTTCCTGTTTTTCTTTGATTTGGTTTCATTTCTTTGTACCTTATTCTTGTATATAAATATAGATCTTGGTTCTCGGCTTGAGTAAGGCCAAAACCCAAAACTTCTTCTTTTTGGGTATTAAAGCAAAACAAAAACCTTCGCCTCCCCATCTTCCTCCCCAATGCCGTCACCTTCTCTCTCCCTCTCTCCATTTTCCCTCACCTCACCTCCATCTCCTCCCAGCCCTTGCGCCGGACCCCTCGGGTAACCCTTTGTTTTGACTCATTTTTTAGGAGAATTCCCTTAGGTTTTTTCCTTCTGGTTTTTTTTTTTTTTTCCTTTGTGGGCTGCCGGTGTTTGTTTGGCAGCATATTTTGGAGGAAAGTGCCGATTTTTTCGGCCTTGTTGTTGTTGTTGTTGTTGTTTTTCTTCTTTACTCTTGCTTTGACGTGTGGACCAGCCTTATTTTGGTACTATGATTGATTCTAGTAGCCAAAATGACACTTTATCCTCGGTCTAGCATACTTTATCTTCGGCATATCATACTCCGGCACAGCGGGTTACTAGTGTGCTCTTGAATGGGCGCAACTTTGTATCTTGGTCCCATTCTCTTCAACTCTATATTGGAGGGAAAGGGAAAACTGGTTGGCTGTTAAGTTTAATCAAGGAACCGGAAAAGACGAATACTAAATATATTGCATGGGACATGGATAGGTGCACCATTCTAGGTTGGATCTTCAACTCAATGGAGGAGCGTATCTATAATATGTTCATGTTTCACACTTCCATTTTTCGTCTGTAGCAAGCCCTTAACAAGATGTATGCCCATTCCCACAATGACACTCGTATCTTTGAGCTCTATCAAGAGATTGCTCATGCATCTCTGGAGACACCAAAGCTATCAGTATCAGAATATTTTGGGTACCTTCGGTCTAGGTGGGAAGAATTAGTATGAACCTCTCTCCAATTTCTTTAAAGAAGGTGCAACTCTTTTGTTCAAGAGACTGGACCGCCAGCATATTTTGATGGGTTTACGATCGGAGTATGATGCTCTTCGAACTCAGATCATAAACACCTCTCCTGTGCCAAATTTATATGATGCCTTCACTACTGTTGACCATGAGGACCATAAACGTCAGATCTCTCAGCTAGTAGCTTTACCAGAGACTCCAGTTGATTAGATGGCTCTTGCTGTAATTCTAGACTTTCAGAGGGATAGGTTATTTGTCAACATTGTGGAGCCTCGGGTTATGTAAAGGATCGTTGCTTTAAGTGTCATCCCGAGCTAAAGCAAAAAAATTCTCGCAATCGTCCTTCTGGCCGTGGCCGCATTGCCGCAGTAGCCGATACTATTGGTGGGTATACTACTCCATAGATTGTTGTCCCTCCTGCATCAACTCCTCCCAAACCATCGTTTCAGGACTTCAATCAGTTACAGTCCCAGATTGGTCAACTTCAGGAGCAGTTTGGAGCTTTATTTACTAGGGATGGCTCTTCTATTCCCACGGCTACTATAGCTACAGGTACTCCTCCTACTTTTCATGTTAAAGCGGGAAAACCTACTTGGGTTATGTATTCCGGAGCCAATGATCACATGACTGGTGAGTTGTCATTATTTTCTACTCTCGTTATCCCTGTTATCTGTTAGCAAACTTGTCAAATCACTAAAATGTGCAGTGATTTTCTTTCCTCATTACTGTGTTTTACAAGACCTGTAATTTCAAGATCTTCAGCAAAGGCTGAGTATCGTGCCATGGCAAGGGTACTAATGAGATTCTCTGGCTTCGATCTTTCTTAAAAGAGCTAGGGCTAAGTGAAAAACAGTCCTCAGACTTGTTTTCTGATAATAAGTCAGCCATCATGCTTGCTTCAGATTATGTTCTTCATGAGAGGACTAAACACAGAGGTGGACATTATCAGAGAGAAGGTTCGTTCGGAAATTATCAAGCCGTGCTTTGTTCGGTCCTCTAATCAGCCGGTAGATGTGTTCACCAAATCCGTTGCTCCATCTTTGCTTCATTCCTTGATTACCAAGCTAGGCTTAATTGATATCTTCACTCCAGCTTGAGGGGGAGTGTTGAAATATCTGTATTATTATTATTATTATTTTTATTAGCTGTTTTCAACCTTTTATTAGGTGTTTTATGTAAGAACCATATTATCATGGGATCACGTAGATAAGATCCCCGTAATCATGGAATCACATAGATTTTGGCATATTTCATGTTTTTCTTTGATTTGGTTTCCTTTCTTTATACCCTATTCTTGTATATAAATATAGATCTTGGCTCTCGGTTTGGGTAAGACCAAAACCCAAAACAACTTCTTTTAACAAAAAAAAAAAAAAAAAAAAAAAAAAAAAAAAAAGCTTAATATTATAGAACAAAAAGAAAGAAGATACTGCAGCTTGAGTAAAGCGTGCTTCCGCACTGCATCTACAACAAATTATAGAAACAGGACACTACAGAGAAATATTAAAATGTCCAATATTAGTTTGTTTTCATTTCAAACCACTTGAAAATCAGTTTGTGTACGAATCCAGAAATGCTTATATTAGATGGACCACGACTTAAAAGACATAAAGATCAATTGAATGGACCATGGTGTTGGAACCAATAAGAGAGAAATCCAAGGACTAATAGTGTGACACTTGATTTCAAACTTTTGATATGCCTCGAATTGAAATAAAAGTTGTTTTTGATATGTGATTTTGTTTAGTTATTGCTATGCGGTATGAAATTAAAATCATCAATATAAGGTGATAGAAAGATAGATAAGGGTAGTTAAGTTAAATTGATAATGTAAATATGACATATTGAACATAAAATTTGCATATTCACCATAATTCTTCAACAATAAAAAAAAAATAAAAAAAAATGAAGAACAGAAAACTTACCACATAATGAGGAAAAAATTATTGAATTCCTTATCAACTAAAATCAAACATCGAGAATGACTTACATTCAATTCTTGGTGGTTTTGGCTTAAACCAAGCTTGGGGTGGCCAGAAGATCTGTGAATGGTCTGAGAAACGTGCTAGAGGTCTGCAACTATCATCTGCCAAGCTGTAAACGCCGGAGTCTCCACATATTTCTGTAAGGTTTTTGTCTTCGTCGTTGTAATTAGTAAACAGATTATCACAGAAATAAATGCAATCCCCTTTCAGACCAGCAAAATCCCAGGTGGAAACACAATAAGAGCAGTTATCACCAACAAAGAACACTCTATCGCCCAAAGTTTCAACCCTTCCCCATTCTTTTTTCTCTTCATTCAGCTTATAAACTTTAAAGTGAAGCGGCATATCACGCTTATCATACACAAATTTTTCATAAGACCCTGTGCACTTAGTAACCAAAAACAAATCACCCCATGAACTCACCAAGTACCTATATTTAACACTTATACCACCCCGCATTGATGCTATCCTTTTGTTCATCCGAATTGGTGGTACAATTTCCTCAGCCCTCAAGTCAGAACCAATCACTACAGTGCTTCCTCTATCGTTTACAGCAAAAAACTTTCCTTTGTGATACACACAGTCATTGTAGTGGCAAGATCGTCCTGGTTCTGGAGCTCTAATATCACTCCATTTCTCATCCCCAAGTTTCAAGAACCACAATTTCGTTCTCTGGATGGCCATGACCTCATAATCAACACCATCAGTTGTCCACGGATTCGACGAGACAACTACTTTCTTAGTTTGAATCACCGATTCTTCCCATTTGGTCTCGATTTTCTTATTGTTGAGATCAACGAACTGAAGATTATAAGTTTGACCTATTTCAGTGATTCGGAAGTTGAGCAAGTTTAGCACCGTGGGAAACGCTTTGGGCACGTGGTCGGTCGAGATTTTCGAGAGAGGGTTGAGAGGATGCATTTTTCCATTTTCGATCTCTTCCACCCTGAGCAACCAAGGAGTGGAATTGGGGACGTTTGGTTTGGGGTTTTGTTCCATGGGTGGTTGGAGGAAGTAGATGGTGCTTTGGAAGAAAGCATAGTGAGCGCGACCCTCTGGATGGATGGAAAGGTGAGAAGGGAAGTAGAAGGGAACGTGGAGAGGGAAAGGGTTTTGCTTGAAGGGTGGAATTGCGGAACGCCATGAAGAACAGACGGAGCGAAGTCGGAGATTGTCGAGGCGATTGTGGAGACGTTTGGCGATCATAGTTGAGAGGTCATTTGGGAGGTGAGACCACCGATCATCCTCCTCCATCTCTGCCATTTGTGCTCTTAAAACCCTAATCTACGCAGTTTCTGAAAAAGACCATGAGAGAGAGCAATGAAGGTGTTTTCTAACCATGAGTCCCTTCATTTATGAGATATCAGTAGGTCACTGTGGCGTTGGTATTTAATTGTTTTTATAAGTTTAACGAAAGAAGAAAAAAAAAAAATAGAAATTTTATCAAATATTATAATATATATATATACATATATTTATCCTTATGATATATTTATATTTGAATTGGTACAGTTAAATATGAAAGGTAATTAATTTTGGTAGAGAGAGAAACTTATTTGTTTAGAAGCCAATACATTCTCTAACCTTAATTTGTTAAAGATTACTCAATAAAGTTATATATCCTCACAAAGAATAAAACCAAATAATATTCAATATAGAATATATCTTCAGTATATTTTGGAGGTCACTCGTTCAAAGCACAAAAATACGAAAATAGTGTAAGTCTGCCTAGCATTACCTCCCTCTGTTTGAGAAACACTTCTAAGAATAATAATTTTTAGTCCAGATTCGAACTTGTCCAAAAAGTGGTGAGTACATTTACATAAACACCCAAACTAAAGAAGTATGTTACATTTCTCTCTCACTACTCTCTCCCTTAGCAACCCTCCCTCCGCAACACCAGTGCCTCCGATGCTTTGAAGTTTGAACCCGTCGCCACCTCCGCCTTAGTTTTCTGATTTCAGTAGTTCCAAAACTCACAACAAAACTCACTTCTTGGTTATAGACTTGTTCAGTCCACAGGGTATTTCACACAATGCAACACGAAGAAGTAACACAAACATAACTAGTCATGGATAGGAGGGTGGGTATCAGAAATGGCATGCAACAATCATAGCCACATCGACCAGTTTCCTCGAACGTAATTCAATTATTCAACTAATCTCCATGAATAACCAAACCTAATTAGAGTAATCTTGGTTTATAGTGAGTTGATGTCACCAGCCAGCTAGTATAGAAAAATTAACTAAACAAGAATGATAATCATTGATATTGTCTTATTATAGATCATGGAACACAGTAAGTCATCATCCAGTTAGCCTTCCAGAACCTCCTAAGGACATATTATTTGGAAACTAAGCCCAAAAGCATGTCTTGAGTCAATTAGAAAATATACACCAAAACAAACCAACTCAGTCATGATCTGGACACAAAAAAGAGTAACGAAGCATGTCCATATCTTCCTTCAATTACATCACAAAAGCATCACCATCCCTAGAAGTGCAAAAGTCCCTCATCAGCTATCCTGTGGAGATCAAATAAACAGTCAGAATAAATTTCTACATGCGAGAAAAGGATTGAAAGTTTCTTTATGAACATATTAAACATACTGGCAAAAATAAATATTCTGTATTACAAACAAATAAATAAATTCAATCAAACTGAAAATAGATCAATATGAAGATAAACTTATATCAAATACTAAAATGTTGCAGCATTTCTTTCATATGTAAATTTCACCCAGAAACAGCAGTTCCCTGCAGCTGGCTAACATAACAGTCTTTTTCAACTCCTTTGGGACTTGAAACATTTCACTCAGGTAAACTGTCCAATGCTACTTACCAATGGGTATGATGTCTCCTCCCAAAAGGGGAGGTCGAGTGTTTGAACCTACTAAGGTCAATATTGTGGTTGTGTTTGTGTTTGTGTTTGTGTTTGCTTGAACTTTCGAGGAAAAAAAATGTCCTCACAAAGCATCCATATAGATAATGAAGGAAGAATAATTGGCATGTAAGGAGATCATTACAATGCAGCAATATCCGAAAAAAGCAAAAGAGCATTTGTTGTCGAATAAAATCATAAAGCACTCAAATTTTTTATATGGAGACGTGAAAAGCTAAAGCCCACAATTTGAGCCTGGAAGCATCCTCTAGCATATGGTAATTCAATTGCTTCTTGACAATTTGACAACGTTTAGCTAACAGCAGAAGTTCAAACATTTTAATTTCTTAACTCATTAACAAGTTTTCTTTATGATTTTCTCTGTCGTATGTTTTAATAGAAGCAAGATAGGCTTTTCTCGATCACACATTCTTCATTTTTGTTGCACACTACAATCACCTTACAAAAAAATATGGGTAAATATCACTTACCTCCCTCGAGGTTAGGTCTTATTACAAGTGGTACTCCTAGCGTTTCAAAAATTACACTGACCTCCCTCAAAGTTAGCTCTGCCACAACACTTTGCCCCTTCCGGTAAAAGTCAACGCCGGTCAATGACCTTTTTTTGATGATGTCATCCATTTGTTAGCATGAAATACCACGTACCCTCACTATAGTTGCAAAGACATTTCCACCAGTACTTTTGAATTAAAATTACTCATATACCCTTAATCACGCTTTATTTTCTCTCTATACATTCTCTCTGTAATGGAATCGATCCTCTACCTTACTTTTGGTTCTCTCCTAGATCTCTCTCTCTAACTATGCCCGGAAACAACGCCAAAGCCAAACCTGGGTTTGCCAGTTACAAATTTTACTCCCAAATTTCATGCTTTACAGCGCGCACATATATATATATGTGTGTGTGTGTGTGTGTATGTGAGTCCTCTTCATCTACTCTGCTCAAACTCTACCAAAATAGACTATTTATGAACTTTCATAGTTAGGCATGGTTAGAGAGAGAAAGACACAGGAAAAAGAGAACGAGGTTTGGAGAGAGAGAACCAGGTTTGGGGGCATGAGGGAGGAGAGAGAATTAAAGCAATGTTTGGGTTTGCGTTGATTTCTTAGTTTTCTTCATTGCCGCAACCAGGGCAGATCGTTGCCGCCGCTGCAGATGGATTCGACGATGTCTGCCTAACCAAATACAATCCTCTGACCTCGCGGTCCTCGCAGCTACAAATTGCTGGCACAATCAATCCGTTACTCCACAAACACACAGCGGATTGCCGCCGGAATCGATGGGCGCCATGGTCGTCGGAATCCATGGAGTCCCATAGTCATGCCGCCACGGGGCAGATTATTGCCGCTGCTACAGATCCATTCGCCGTTGTTCAGTTGAGAACTTAAGTGTTCTTCAAGCGTTTTCTTTCTCTTGGTCCAAAATGATTTCGACAGCAGGGCGGGTGGGGGTTGAAATGGGGGCAGCTATGACCGGTGTAACATTGAAGTAGGCAAAGAAAAGGGTGGTGGTGGCAACAGCGGCGACAAGGTGGTTTTGAGGAGAGAGAAGGGGAAGGGGTTTAGGGTTTCAAGGTGTCTATTGGTGATGGTAGTGTGTTGTAGAAAGTCTGGTCTTTGGTTAAACTTTGACAACCTTTATGTTAATATAATAATAAAGGATATTTTAGTACTTTTATAAGGATTTCTCACAAAACCTAACGCTGGTCATATTGGAGGGAGGTCGGTGTAATATTGAAAACAATAGGGGTACCACCTGTAATGAAGCCTAAACTCAAAGGAGGTAAGTGATATTATCCCAAAAAAATATTACATAAAGTTCACTCACAGCGGAAAAGAGCACAATATTATAGAACAATAAGAAACAAGACATTGCAGTAAAGCATGCTTTCACAATGCATCTACAACAAATTATAGAAACAGGGCACTACAAAGAAATATTAAAACATTCACCCAAATATTAGTTTCTGACCCGCACATCCATTTTGTTTTCACATCAAACCACTTGAAAATCAGTGTATGTATGAATCGAGAATACTTATATTAGAAGGAGCCAAACTTCAAAAACATAAAGATCAATTGACTGGACCATCGTGATGGAACCAATAAGAAAGAAATCGAAGGACTAATAGTTTGACACTTGACGTCAGACTTTTGACATGCCTTAAATTGAAATAAAAGTTGTTTTTGACATGTGTGATTTTGTTTAGTTGTTACTATATGATATGAAAATGAAATCATTAAATTATGGTGATACATAGAACAATAAGGGTAGTTAATTTGAATTGAATCATTAATGTAAATAAGACATACTGAACATAAATTTGCATATTCACAATAGTGCTTCAACACTAATAAATGAAGAATAGAAAACTCACCACATAACAAGGAAAATATCATTGAATTTGTTATAAACCAAAATAAAACATTGAAAATGACTTACATTCATTCTTCATATCGCTTGGTTTTGGCTTAAGCCAGGCTGGGGGTGGCCAGAAAATCTGTGAAAGCTCTGGAAAAGTAGCTAGAGCTCCGCACATGCAATCATCCAAGCTGTAAACACCAGTGTCTCCACATATTTTCACAAGGTTTTCGTCTTCCTCGTTGACATCGAGGAACATATGATCACAGAAATAGATGCAGTCCCTTCTCAAACCTGAAAAATCCTGAGTGGAAACACAATAAGAGCAGTCATCACCAACAAAGAACACTCGATCACCCAAAGTTTTAACCCATTCCCATTCTTTTTTTTCTTCATTCAGCTTATAAATTTTCAAGTGAATTGGCAGATTAGAATCTTCATCTTCATCGTCATCGTACCAAACTTGTTCTTCAGTGTCGAGGTGCTTATCAACCAAAAACAAATCACCACATGACTCCACCAAGTGCTTATAGTGACCACCTCCATGCTGAGGCAAAGAAGCTGCAATTTCAGCCCTCAAATCGGAACCAATCACTACAGTCCTTCCTCTATGGTCCACAGCATAGAACTTTCCCTTGTGATACACACAGTCATCAAAGTGAGACTGTTTTGGATCATCAACAGCACTCCATTTCTCATCCCCAAATTTCAAGAACCACAATTTTCCTTTCTGAATGGCGATCACTGCATAATCAACACCATCACTTGTCCACGGATTCGATGAGACAACAACTTTCTTAGTTCGAATCAACTTAGATTCTTCCCAGTCCATCTCAATTTTCTTCTTGCTAAGATCAACAAACTCAAGATTATAGACTTTACACATTTCAGTGATTCGAAAGTTGAGCAAGTTGAGTACCTTAGGAAACTTTTTGGGAACGTTAACGGTCAAGAGTTTCGAGAGAGGGTTCAGGGGATGCATTTTACCACTCTCGATTTCCTCAACCCTAAGCAACCAGGGAGTAGAATTGGAAGCTTTTGGTTTAGGGTTTATTTCCGTTGGTGGTTGGAGTAAGTAGGTGGTGCTTTGGGAGAGAGAGAAGTGACCGCGACGCCTTCGATTGAGGGAAGGGTGGGGAGAGAAGGAGAAGGGAAGTTGGAGAGGGAGGGAAGGGGTTTTGTTGAAGGGAGGAATTGAGGAACGCCATATAGAACAGACGGAGCGAAGTCGGAGATTATCAGAGCTAGTGTTGAGACGTTTGGCGATCGCATTCAAAGAGGTCTTTTGGGAGCTGAGACCACCTAACACCCTCCTTCATCTCTGCCATTTGTGCTCGTAAAACCCTAGTACCACGCAGTTGCTGAACAGAGCTATGAATGGATCAATGCGTGTGTGTGTGTATATATATAGATAATCTAAAGTCCGACCCGGAGTCCGAACCAAATGAGACGAATTGAATTGGTGGGTGGAGTACATTGTTAAGAAAAAAATTAATAAACTACTTTTATTGATAGTTATTATTTTTTTTTTTTTTCAACCACCAAATTTGGTTCAAGTTGGTGAATTTAATAAACGTACCGACCAAGGGAAAGGTAGGGTAATGCGACAAATGACTCTTAGGCTCATATTGGTAGTGTGGGTTTGAAGGGAAAGGGAAGGTTATAAAAAAATTGTATTTGGGTAAGGTGAGTAGAGGGAAAGAGAAAGGGAAAGGGAAAGGGAAAGAGAGGGAAGGGTTTGGAGGGGTTTTTCATAACAATGTACAATAATTTCTTTAACCTTCAAAAAATGGAAGGATAAGGAAGGAAAGGGAAGGTAATGGCTCATATAATATTTGTTATGTCACTTTTACCCTCAAAATTGCACTTGATATTGGGCGTGTATTCAGGGAAGCTTGCGAACGGCAGACGGCGAACCCGAACTGGAACGGCAATGGAAACTGAAAGATGTGGGTTTTGATTTTTTGGAGGCAGACGGCGACGGCGAACCCGAACTAGAACAGCGATGAAAACTGAAAAATGTGGGTTTTGATTTTTTGAGGCAGACAGCGAACCCGAATTGGAACAGTGATGGAAACTGAAAGATGTGGGTTTTGATTTGAGAGAGAGAGAGAGGAGGAGGAGGAGAGGGCAAGTTCAGATTTGAGAATGAGATTAGAGATGGAGGCTGAAATGATTTGCCCTAATCTCTTTTTTCTTTTCTTTTTTTTGTCTTCTTTTTTTTTTTTTTTTTTGTAGCAAAATATAAGAGTATATATATATATATATATATATATACTAGATAGAACCACGTGCAATGCACGTGATTATAACTTATTCATATTTTGAGATATAATAAAATAATAGAAAAACCTATAATGGAATTAAAATAATTGAATAAAAGTTGTAAATTAATTTGGTTTATTCAAAATTTTAAGTTATCATTCAATCATTCATTCGAGTACTATTTGACTATTAATCTCAAAGATAAATAAGGACTTAAAAACACATTTTTATCATCTTCAAAATCTTTTTATGCAAAATTTTATGGAAATCGTAATATTCTTGTGGTAACACTACATCATGACCAAACGTTACTTGCAATAAAAATTTAATAATTATACATGCATGTCTTATATCTTTCTTTTTCTTTTTTTTCTTTTTTTTTTTTTTTTTTAATATATGACTGAATAAAGTACAATATACATAATAACATTTGATGTATATAGAGGCCTATAAAGTTGTTCAGACAAAGCTGAAATTTATTTTTCAAACCATTAAAATTCATCGAGGGTACCTATGTAAGAGGATAGTAGATTTATGTAAAAAGAAAGAATATAAAAGGTTAAAAATAAATGAAAGAGATTATATAGAGTAAAAGGTTAAAAATAAATTAAAGAGATTATATAAAGTAAGTATTACGGTTTATTCCTACATAGAATCTATAACTATCAACCATCTCATATCTCTAAAAGTGTTTGTTATTAAAAGTGTTTCTAAATTCATAAAAGGTATAATATGCACTTATCTATTTCACTTAGTATAATGAAAAACAAAACTCCATGTTTCACTTTCACAACACTTTTTTTTTTATCCAATATCTTTTTCCAACGCTCTAAATAGACACGTTACATTTTCATATCAATAAATTTCAAAACATGGAAATAAATGCCAGTAGCTAGATTGAAATTTATACTTTTTCATATCAATAGATTTTAAAAGTAGATATGTAGATTTTGAAACATGGAATTAATACATATACCAGTAAATTGAAATTTAGGGACCCGATACACAATCGGAATTTTTTTTAAACAACTAAAATTCGTAAGTACTCCATTATCATCTTGCCCATAAATTATTGATTGCATGGACGAAGGAAGGAAGTTTAGAAAATAAACAAAGAGGAAGATGTAAAACGCATAGTATATTTTATTTATTAGATTACTCTACTATTTATAGGCTACTACGCACCTAGTCATGAAAGGATATATCTGTTCAATTATAAGACGTTTCTTAAAAACCTATATGATGCAAACTAATCAAAGATGTGTCTCCAACAAAATGGGTTCAAAGGTGACGTGAATAAAACTACTAATAATTTTTTGCACATAATTTTTTGCATAGAAAGAGGGAAAGAGCTAGAGAGAGAGAGAGAGAGAGAAAGCAACAGAGTAATTTAGGGAATTGATATATACGTCTACTTTTTTTATATGATTGAATTGACATATACTTTCAATAGTTTTGAAAAAGCAAATCACGTACTTTTTATTAAAAAAAAAAAAATACAAAATAATTTAAATTGAGAGGTAATATATTTTAACTCGACAATAACTCATCATGAAAGAAAAAATGTTTAATACAAAAACAGTTTGAATTTAAAAGAAATTTTTTTTTGTAAAAGAAGTCACTTGGTAAGCAAAGTATGTAAAACATAAGAGGTGACAGGAATTTATTTTTTGTATTAGAAATCTATCTGTCTAAAGGTATAAAAGTGTATTGGCAAGGAATATCAAAACGCGTTGAAATTTGTCATATTGAGAAAATTATTTAAAAAATATAATATATACAAAATAATTTAAATAAAGAACAGATGTATTTTAATTGGATATTATCTAAAACAGAGGTATTCTTTATAGACATTTGAATTTAAAAGAAACTCTTTATGAAAGCAGGCTACATGGTAAACAGAATATATACATTATTTATTTTATAAGTTTTTTTTCAATGAAAAGGTGTTAGTTTTTTTTTCATTGGCAAGAAGCTGTTAGTAGTTAAGACGGTAACTTTTGAAGTATTTTATTTTTATAGTTGAAATTCAAATGTGTACATGTGTATTGGCAGGAAATATAAAAAACGTTGAAATGCTAAAAGGTGTAACGTTTAGAAATCCAAATGGTGTATAATGTAAATTGAAAACTGTGTGTGTGTGTGTGTGTATATATATATATATATATAGATAATACAAAAAATATTTATTATTTTAGGATAGCGAAAATATTTATTATTTTAGGATAGAGAAGGTGCTTACAGTTAGAAGCTGTCTGTTACAATAGTTTAATTATTATTATTATTATTTGAAAAATCAAGTTTCTTGAGAAAACAAATATTTAAAGTTGTGTTTCCTTTTTAAACTAAAAAAATTTAGTGCATATAAATAATACAAAATGAATCCCCTTCTATAAGGGTTATAAATATATTAAACTGATTGAACTAAATACCATTTTATTCTAAATATAACTTTAAAGTGTTTCTTCATTTCTCAGTAGTCTTATCGTAAATCTCCACCGAACATACTTTCAAAAATCTCTTTCAAATATAAAGACATTATATAACATAATCATAAATACTTTGGAAAGAATTAGGCAAAGTAGAGAACGCATATGAAAAAACAACATTTTCTAGAGAATTAAACAAGAAAGGAATACAGAATTAGACAGAAAAGCAACATGAAAAAATAAACACAGTATATACACAAATAAGATATAAAGAAGCCAAAACACTTTGTTATAACACAACATAAATAGTACAAATAAAACTTTATAAAATAATAATAATCCAGTAAAATATCAATTTGATTTTTTAATAAAGAAATCCACATAATTAAAGTTGATTTTTCAATAGAGAAATCCAGAATCTAGAGTTCATGCAAGATTAATTTAAATTAAAATTTAAAAATTGTTTAAAACAAGAACTCTTTGGGAAAAAAGAAGAAAGTAAGAAAACAAAGGCCGTGTGTAAAAACTAAAAAAGAAATGTCAACTCTTTGGAGAGAGAGAGAGAGAGAGAGAGAAAAAAAAAAAAAAAAAAAAACAGTATACTATTTTTGTAAAATGAAGAATTTATTTTGAAATGTATATAAAAAATCAAAAATAAAATAAAATTGTCTCTTATGAGACTTAAACCCATAACCTCCCTTTGGGAAGTAAGAGTCTGATACCACTAGGCCACTGACCCGTTGGTTAAAAAAAAAATTGAATACACTTAAACATATAAAATATAAAAACTCCTCATGAATTAATTATGTATTGTATATATATATATATAATGATTCGTTCGTGAGAGAATTCTATGATAACTAACTGACATTTCAATCAATGATTATAGACGTCAATTATCTATATATACGTGCACATGTATATTGCATATAAAATACAATATTTCATATATTTTATCCATGTAATATTTCTGAACAAAACAAATTTAATATTCATGCATATTACTTTCACATCGTAATATAAAAAAATTCCAGAACTGAACTATTAGGAGAACATATAAAATATAATAACTCCCCATGTATTAATTTTGTATGAAACAATATAAATATATATATGATTAGATAGAAAGATAAAATATATAAATTGTTCTTCAATTCAAATTAAAACATACCTTTAAAAAAAATTTAAAAGGGTTTTAAGTTGTAATTTGATGTACATGAACCAAAAGACGAATCTCCTCTCAAAGCCGTTGAAATAGTTTGTGGAAGAATAAACCTCTAACAAACTTTTTGTGAAGAAATTATTTTCAAAGAGAGATGGAAAAAAATAGAGAGGGTGAGATATAGGGTGATATGAATGTTAGATATATATATATATATATATATATATATTTGGGTGTTTGCAGTTAAAAGGTGACATTTAGAAGAGGTGTTAGTATAGTTAAAAGGTGACTTTTAGAAGAGGTGTTAGTGTAATTAAAAGGTGACTTTTAGAAGAGGTGTTAGTAGTTATTTGAAAAGTCACATTTATTTATTAAAATAAATTAAATAATTTAATTGCATATAAATAATAAAAAATGACTTTTAGAAGATGTGTTAGTAGTTATTTGAAAAGTATATAATATTATTACAAAAAAATGTATATAAAAAATACAAATAGAATACACTTTTATATATAGGTGTTTGTAGTTAAAATGTGACTTTTAGAAGAGGTGTTAGTGCAGTTAAAATGTGACTTTTAGAAAAGATGTCAGTAGTTATTTGAAAAGCTTTTAGAAGAGGTGTTAGTAGTTATTTAAAAAGTCACATTTATTTATTAAAATAAATTAAATGATTTAATTGTATATAAATAATAAAAGGTGACTTTTAGAAGAGGTGTTAGTAATTATTTAAGAAGTATATAATATTATTACAAAAAAATGTATATAAAAAATACAAATAGAATACACTTTTATATATAGGTGTTTCAAGTTAAAATGTGACTTTTAGAAGAGATGTCAGTAGTTATTTGAAAAGCTTTTAAAAGAGGTGTTAGTAGTTATTAGAAAAGTCACATTTATTTATTAGAAGAGGCATTAGTAGTTATTTGAGAAATATATAATATTATTACAAAAAAGTGTATATAAAAAATACAAATAGAATACTCTTTTATATATAGGTGTTTCAAGTTAAAATGTGACTTTTAGAAGAAGTGTTAGTGCAGTTAAAAGGTGACTTTTAGAAGAGGTATCATACTTATTTGAAAAGTCACATTTATTTATTAAAATAAATTAAATGATTTAATTGTATATAAATAATAAAAGGTGACTTTTAGAAGAGGTGTTAGTAGTTATTTGAGAAATATATAATATTATTACAAAAAAGTGTATATAAAAAATACAAATAGAATACACTTTTATATATAGGTGTTTCAAGTTAAAATGTGACTTTTAGAAGAAGTGTTAGTGTAGTTAAAAGGTGACTTTTAGAAGAGGTATCATAGTTATTTGAAAAGTCACATTTATTTATTAAAATAAATTAAATGATTTAATTGTATATAAATAATAAAAAGTGACTTTTAGAAGAGGTATTAGTAGTTATTTGAGAAGTGTATAATATTATTACAAAAAAGTGTATATAAAAAATACAAATAGAATACACTTTTATAGGGTAAATAGATAATATCTCTCTCTCTCTCTCTCTTAAAATATAATAAGGGTATAATAGTAAATTTATTATTATCCTTCCCTTTCCTTTCTTTTCCCAAACATAATTATTATCCTTCTTTCTTTTCCTTCATTAACCAACCAAACACAACGGAGAGTTAAAATTATCCTTCCCTTCCCTTCCCTTTCCCTCATAACTAATCTTATCCCCCCTTCAAACCCACCGTACCAAACATAGCCTTAGTGTAAGCATCAAAGGTCCCAAGTTGTGTGTATAGCAAAAAAAAAAATTTAAAATTATTTTTCATAATTTATCATGGGAGCGATTTTCATAATATATTATGTGAGCGAGGATGAATTAAGAGGAGGCGCAATGTCCGAGTTGCTGTCCATGACTAAGAGTTTGTGTTTAAACCTTGCACCAGCCCTTTTAATCGCTAACCCTTAGCATTCTTGCCACGAAAAAAAAAAAAAAAAAAAAACTAAGGGCGCACAGTATCACTTTTTGTACCCTTTTTCTTGTCTCTTTTTCTTTTTTTCTTTTTTTTGGTGCCTATCCTGAAGATAGTAAGTCTACCATAAGAGCTCTTTTTTTTATCATCGTTGTATCTTTTAAGCCGTAAGATTAAAAGAAGCCATTCAATTTAAAGAATGAAGAATTCTTGCTCGTCCTATGATAGCATTTTCCATTTTGAGAAAGTAGTAATGGTTTTACTCACTTGTTTCATCTAGCTGTTAAATGCCACCCGTTTGATCATTCTGTTACCGGTTAGCGCAGACATAAGGAACTCAATCAAGGTTTACTAATTCAACTAGCATAACAGGCACTATTAAACATGGATACAGAGTATCATTAACTTTTGAGCATGTATTCAGTTGGTGTCAGATAGTACAGTGTTCTGTGACAATGCTATTGTGAAGTCTCAGTGTTGCCCCTGAAGAGAAATAATTCTACAAAATCAATGTTAAGGACTGTTTCAAACAAAATTCTGAATTTCCACTACTGTGCATTGATTGTTGGTGATCTGAGCATGAGAGGTTTGCTAAATCCTGTCTATGGGAGTCCTCAGTTCTTAATTCAAGAAAAATTCTGTGATGACCTTGAAGCCTTTTGAGTATTTTGCATTCAAGATGTTGAAGCCTTTAATTCAAGATGTCCCATGCTGTGTTGAATGTTTGATATACTTCAGAATTAATCCTCATTTATTGCAGGCAGGCAGCTCTACTAGCATTATATATGGTCATACAAAAAATAAAAACCCAATAATAGTAATAATTGAAAAGAGACCAGATGCCTGACTATCACACAGAATAAATATGAAGGGGAGGCCGAGGCTCAACTACGGTGTCAAGTGGGAACTTTTTGGGTGTTGAAAGCCCAAAAAATTCCTCCATATTCAGATCCTCCAGCTTCATATCATTTGGTAATCTCCAGCTTCATATCATTTGGTAATCTCCATTTAGTGAATACGGAAATTCTAGAACAAACACCGTGAAGGACATTGAAATTGCACAGAAAGGAAATACGAAGTTCCAACCTCAACACCCCAACAAACATCAATACTGATAAAAGCTAAAAGATTATATGCCAGGGTCCCTAGTAGAAAAAGATAAAAGAAGGGGAAAAAAACAGTAAAAGACATCCATACAAAAGCAAGCACCATGAAGACATCAAGATACTAGAAGACCTAAAGACAAATACAGTGATGAAGGATCGACAAACCAAACAGTGTTATCAAAGGCCAAAGGCGCACTCAGGCGCTAGAGGTTCTCTAGGGCTTAGGCGCAAGGCGAGACGCGCACCTGAATGAAATGATGCGCATAATGGAAAAATTAAATTACCATTGAAGTATTCATATTCCATATAAAAGGCGCAAATGTTGACAAAGGCGCACCTGGGCACACAATAGCTTGAGCCTAGGCGCGCCTTTTACAACACTGAAACCAAAGAGAAACGGGGGAGAAGGGGGTTTGAAAGAAAAGAAAGAAAAGATGACAAAGGACTGAGGTTGATACTCATTCGTCATTCCAAGAGTTGCCTTGGTATGACATTGAAATTATGGAATTCAGTCAACATTGCTAAAAGGAAAATGATTCTTTGGTCGTTTCCTCTAAACCTATTTATATAGTCGAAGGGTTTCTATCCCTTTGATGTAGTGGATAGGACCCACAGTTGAGCTTATCCACTACATCAAGTGGATAAAAACCTCATCGATTACATTCTTCTGCCAAACAAATAGGCGTAAATAGCGTTACTCATACTAAAACACCAAACCCCGTAGTAGGAGCAGTCATTGAATAAAAAGGGAAGCATACAACTATCAACAGTCTAATTCAAAGTTTCTTCATTGCATCTATAGTGGGGGAAGAATGCAGAGAAGTGTCAAATCTATTCTCTATGATTAACCATGCAGAATTAATTTCAAAACATTTCGGTTATTGTTAAAAGACCATCCATGCAGGAGCTTTACTTAAGCATTTTTATATAAACATGAAAAGAGGTGATTTGGGGGGGGGGGGGAGGGCGTTCAAGTAACTAGATGCAAGGCAAACAATGGAAACAATCTTGCAGCATCTCCTCAAAGAAAAAAAGACACAGAAAAATGATAAGAAGCTTCTTACGAGATTTCAACCTCCCAAGGAAACAATCATTATTCTTCACCTCGCCAACTCTCCAACATGCAAAAACATGTTTCTGTATATTGCATGAGTATGTTAGAAAAGAAAACTGTTTTAGTCATCTAGACAAGTTCATAACGGGCAGTCAAGCTAGTACACCTAGCACAAGTGCTGCACAACCCTCATTGAAACTGCGCGTGTAAAAAGGCAATGCCCGAAGCACAAAATACGCGAAATTACCTCATGAAAGAGAACCGCGAGTGAAGAATTGACACCCCCCCCAAAAAAAAAAAAAAAAAAAAAAAAAAACCAAAGGAAAGGAAGAAAGCACCGAGCATAGCAGAGAATAGCCTTTGCAAGAAACACTCGAAGCACAAACATTCATGAGTTCCGTAGTCTGTACCACAGCAACGCCTTTGCATGGAACCCTTTAGAGTAGAAAATTCATAAATTTTGTACCTTAGAAATGCTATAAATTATCGATAAGAACTTTAATTTCTTCCAAGAAATCAAAAGAGGAGGAAAAAGAAAGTACTCACGGTTCACGTCCAACTGGACGACAGTTACTCTAAAGAGTTCAGACTTTGTAATTTGTTAAACCACCAAAACTATCTCCAAGGTCATGCCTACAAGGAAACTAGACATGGAAAGAGAGAAGGATTAATGATGATTTTTTCAGCCCCTCTTCAGCAACAGTCAAATATCATGAATGATGTGTAAGGAGAGCTCTGAAAATAGAACAGCATCTGTATTTTTAGCTTTGTTCAGGTGTATATAATTTATAACAGAAACAAGAACACTACAGCGCCTTCAAAGAAGGTAACACAGACTAACAAATGTTGCGGAGACGGGATTTGAACCAGTGATCTCAAGGCTGACCTTGCAAACTACCAAACTGCTCTACCCCGTGCTCAAAGGAAGAACTGTAACCAAATTGAGATTCGACAACTAGATATACAAAAATCCTCAATTGAGGGTACCAACACTAACGCTCATAGACAATATATACGATAATATATGCAATTCAATTAGTAGCCTTTTCGTCAAAAAATTGCTTATCAAACCCAAATCACAAAACACCAACATTAACACTCATAGATAACAAATAAATTTTAGTGCCTCTCAAGGAAAAGGACTGACGTATTACCATAAAAGACGATGGGTTAAGGCTATCTGCAACATGGAATCACATACAAGAAAGTTGAGAACAGACAAGAAATCAGTAACCAAAACCCCGAATCAAAGGACATTCCGAAATACTACCACACGTTAGATTCACTAATTACAGAAATACAACGATCTAACAAGAAAGTTCACAGCAAGACCCACTCCATCAACCCTACAATTGAAATGAGGTCCCTGCAAAACAAGAAGCCATGAAGACATCAAGATACAGAAACGACATATTTGTCCATAAGTTAATAGAGACCTCAAGCAAAATAAGTGAAGATCCTAGAGCATTCCTATGATGAAACAATTGAATCATGATTAGAGTAGTGTTCTGACACATTTTAAGCCCAACAAATTTCAGTAATAAATCCTCTTATCAAATCTATGTCGGCAAGCAAAAGGAAAAATAAAAATGCAATTCAAAAAATAAAACAAACGTTACAGTAAATGAACAAGATTCACGTACAAACCATGCGGAAGGATGAGAATAAAAAGTTTCGCTGCTAATATGTCCATTTCCTTGTCATAAACCAACGCCAAAAAAATAGTGTAAAAATCAACTCTACAATTAAGAGATTAAACGCCAACAAGCGAAGCAAAAGGCAAACATAAGCAGCAGCCTCATGAAAAGATGGCAGAAACAAGATAGAATGTTCCGTGTTGCCCAAAATATATATAGACAAAAAAGTAATTTACCACATATGTAAACTAACAGAAACAAATGATCAAATCCCACACACAAACAAGAACACATTCATGGGTGTTTGACATAAATCGGAAATAAAGAAGAGAATACAGAGTTCATATAAGGCGCATCAAGTGCTCTAGAAATTTTGTTCAGCATTTTATATTCTGACATCGGTACAAACTGTGCTGTGTCTGGCCTATCAAGTCCCAAAAGAAACAAAAATATATAGACATACAGTCAAATCAGTTAAAACCTCAAATAAAAAAGCCATATCAACAAAGAAATTCCAACCTAAAAATAATATCATTTGGCTTCAAGGGAAAGAATATCATAATAAACGTAAGATAGGAATAACACAAACCTAAGAAATCACTTAACCGCAAAGTCCCATGCAAAAAGCTCCGAGAAACGTGGCTTTTCTGATTCATTGATCAACTAAAATAGTTTCTACCAAATGCTACACAAAATACGAGGCAAAAATAGTGATGGTCTGCTACCTGCTACTTGCATCTGGAATGGCAATCAGAAAGAAGAACTGTCCAAGAGCAATGATAATGCCTCTTCAGAACTCTCACTTCTATATTTCAATGACTACTGCATTAAATACATAATGTATTAATGTCAGCAATTGAGTCAACAAAAAATGTCTATAAATTGCCACATTCTGGCAACAAAGACTAGTGTTTTATATATATTAATAAATATATATTATATGCATAAGAACTCATCAAATGAAATGGCCTAATCACCTTTCATGGTATGGTGGAAAACCTCAATGAAATCAATAATCCAAGACTTCAGCTCAATCCAAACAGGATAAAAAAACATAATAAACAGACACGATTGCACAGCAATGTCAACCTTGAAAACCCAACATCTATCTGCTTCACGAAGAACTATATCACCATCAAGATAAAAACAAACAATACACATGGATAAAATCATTATTGCAAAACAATATAAGATAGGAATAACAACACGCGAGAGTAAAGTAAAATAAAATGAGACAGAAAAACATCAGTGTCACGCATATCACTATGAGCAAACAATATATTTAACTGTACGAATAACAAAAATATTCAGAGAGTGGTATGGACGCCAGAAGAAGTTGACTTGCATATGTAAACTAAACAACTTGTTGCTGAGTGACATCAAATAGATTAAATCAAACTAGAAGAATTAAAAATAAAAGAATAATGAGCAAACATACTTTGTTAGATCCGCAAAGTGTTTTCTACCAAATACTACATTAAATTCAAGGCAATGAATCCTACAAGAATCAATCATAAACTATAAGAACTCGTTTAAAGATTAAATCATCTTGGAAATAATGGATAATCATAGGTTCATAAATATAAAGATTAAATCATTTTATATAGGAGGAAAAAAAATTGCGTATCAATTTGTGATTAATAACTTAATCATTAATTCAACAAAAACTACCAAAGCAATTTGTGATTTATAACTTAATCATTAATTCAACAAAAACTACCAAAGCAGCCAAGAACGGCATTTCAAAAAATTCTTAGTTATCATCAAATGGTTAGAAAACACCTCCCCAAGAGATAGAGAGTTCACATCCTCATCGAGGGTATCATTTGTGCACCTCATATGTAATCACAGGAGATATGTACGTGTGTTTGTGAGTTTTTATGTGTGTGTATACAATAAAAGAGAGTAAAATGATCGCTTCACTCCGCTCTCAATTATTTGTAAATTATTTTCAGCAATCTACTTGGGCCGTAGCTAGGGTAAGACAACTGATCTTATTTAAACATGGGCACAACTGTTCATACCAAGTTCACAAAATCATTAATAAAAGCAATAATATCAAAATTGCAGAGATTTCACAAAAAGGCTTCCATTGTTGAGGAATTTCTAGCAAAGAAAGCCAAGCTGCTTATCAATAAGAATGAGGCAGACAGTTAATATTCCACTAAAGTATTAATAAGATAAACAGCTCAAGGAAAGGTATTCTATATAAGTAGGCCTGGCTTTGGTTCACCTGCATGTCCTACTTCCCTCCAAGTAATAGAAAATCTGGATTATCAGCATATCTTTCTAGCCCGAAGCTTCATCAGATGAGATGACGAGGGTTTGGCTTGAAGCTTCTATCTGTATGCTGGGTCGGTGATTAGGTGATCCTGCTCTGTGCTTCCACTTGAGCGACTTTCCCTGAGCTCTAATGGTCGAGACTTTCTCTCTCTGATGTGGCCAAATCCGCAACTTTCAGTCTACAAGAAGCTGGCAGAACTGTAGCCATTGGACCACGAACACATCCATCTTTCCACAAAAGTTTGCAGGGCACACAAGATATGCTATATAGATAACTATGGAACAACTACCAAAACAATAAGAACTTACAAAAGTGAAAGCCTAAACAATATCCTTAACATAATTCTCATAATAGTGCAAACAGAAAATAGATATAGAAAGTAATAACCTGAAAAAGTCAATACTTTCTTCCAACCATTCAATTCCTTTTCCCTATGGTTTCGTCCATGTTGATTATCAAGTCACAAACCAACCATTGTTCCAACTGGCATGTCACAAAATAAAAAAATAAAAATGAAATCATGCTAGACATATATACCAAATTAAAATATAAAATACACTTTTTTATAAGTAAAATAGAAAAAATGCTTTCAAAATTTTTAAATAGGATCTTCACAACTACACATACAAAAAATCTCATCGTGGGGCGTCGGAAGACTCAATGGACTCCCATCAATTCCACCCCTTCCAAAACAATTTCTAGAGAATTTTAGCTTTGGAGTTTTTTAGCTTTAGAACTTGTGTTTTATGTGGAAGATATGCATGATGTGTGGAAGAATTACATCTTCTTGCAGCATGTCTTCACGAAAACAATTATTTATTAAAATAACTGCTTTAATTATAAATAATCATATTAATTCAGAAAGAATGATTGATAACCATTAGAAATAAATCTAAAAAGACACAACTCTTAAATATCAATTAGTTAGCAGCCAATTATTATTAAATAACAATTGTAATACACAACTAATAACCTAATTTTAAAAAGGTAACTCTTAAAACATAAAAATTCAAATAAATAATTTTTAAATTAAAAGATCTACTTTAAAATGTATATAAATTTTATAAATCCAATAAAGCTATAGATTTATAAAATAGTAATAATAATAGTTTAAATGTGTATAAATATTAAAATTTTATGCAACATTGCTACTGATCATTAAGATTGGCAAAGAGAGGGAAAGGATTCATCATTCACTTTTGAAACAGAAAAGAACGAATTTTAAAATGCAAATAAAAATAAATAATTCATAATTCATAAAATATTTATATAATTTCTTCTCATAGGATTTACAATATAAAATAACTAAAAAATAATAGAACAATAAACATTACACACTCGTTTCTTTGTTTTAATATTTTAAAGATCTCATCCCTCATCACTTGCAATGCTCTGATATTGTATCTCCTTCTGTAATGTGAGCACTTTAAAATTTTAAAAAGAAATAAAAAACTGCCATATGAATTTAAGATATAAATTTATGCACAGTAAAAGTACAAAATAATAAAAAATCCAAGATCTCATGTCATGAGAAACTCATCTTCATCTGTGATTCAATAGAGTTGTCTAGTTTCTTAAGATGGATAATGTTAATATATATTATGTATTATCAAAAATCATCCGAAACTCACAACGTAAAATTCTAATTACACATGAGAAACAGATTTCATCATTAACACCATTGGAAGAGAAATGAAATAATGAATATAAATAAATATTCTACATATATATTAACAAGAAACATACCTTCCAAAAAATAAGGTTGTGAGTTGCAATTTGCAATTGATGCATATGAACCAAATTATCACTCTCGTGTTTCAAAGTTGTTGAAACATTAGAAAAAAAACCTCTGACAAGGACTTTTTGCATAGAGATGTAAAAAGAGATATATAGTTTGCAACATGTGTTCAACTTAGACATCGTTTATAAGATATATAGAAAGAGAGATACGAATATAGGAAAAATCTCAATGTAAAACTGACATTATATAAGTTGTAACCAGCAGAGTTCTACAGTTGTGAAGTTTCAAACAACTTAAAACCGAAACGACACTTATAAAATATTGAAATCGAGTATATATTATTATTATACAAAAAGTGTATATAAAAAATACAAATAGAATATACTTTTATAGGATAAATAGATATATATATATACACACACAACAACAACAACTCAGTAGCTGAAATGGCCTGATTTCACAAATGATGCAACATGAAATGGTAGTCGATCATGCAAGAGTCCAGCTCAGACCAAACAGGAAATGCTTCCTTACCAACTATGCAGAAGTTTTCAGTTGAAAAAAAGAAGTTACTGCAGTAGGCTGAGTCAACAACTCAACAAACAGCTAGCACACAACTGCTGCAAGCAAACACCAGAAGGCTAAGCAGCACCACCAAGGATAAAAAAGGACAGCGGAGTTCTCACAGTGCAATGATGATGCCTCTTCAGAACTTAACAACATTAATCTGTCAATGACTGCAGCATTAAATACCTAATGACGTCAACTGAGGCAGCAAAAGATAACTGTAAATTGCCACGCTCTTGCAAAAAGACAAATAAATATCATATGTAAATATTTCATGGCTAAATATATCATGGCTCACACCCGGCAGCCTGACAACAGGAGTTCAGCCTTTGTAATTTTTTAAAACATAGAAATCGTGATATCCCTCCCCAAAAAAAGGGGAAAAAACATGTTAACAGACATCATTATACCAAAATTCCATATACAATAGAAAAGAAATAGAATACCCAACGCTGGATCAATTGGGGGGGTGGGGGGGAAGAAATCCCCTGCTCCATCTGTCCATACCCAAAACTGTCTCCAAGGTGGTTCATACCCATCTATTCAATCATTTTACTTCTTTTTGTTGCTAGATATCAAATTCGTACAAATCACCCCTTTGTTTCCCGGGCTAGTGAGTTACAAGCATCTATTACGATAATGACTCAAATAAAAAAAACTCGTAATTGGTATTTTTCTTATCCTCATATTTTGCAAAACTCATGAATCAAAAACTCGTAAATTGTATTTTTCTATCCACATAACTTACAAAAATGGAGTTGATATGCCAAACATCAATATATATATTTTTTTAATAAGTCCAAACATCAATATTGACCAAAGCAGACAGCTCCTATGCCAGGGTACCCTATCAGAGAAAGAGATGAGCTATAGACAAATACAGGGATGATAGATCAAAAAACACACAAAACAGAAAAAGGGGTGAAAGGGAAGAAAGAAAATATGACAAAAGACTCAGTCTAATCCTCATTATACATTCCAAATGTTGCTAAGTATTCTCAGACTAGGTAAAACATTAAAATTATGAAATTCAATCAACAATATAAAAAATACCAACCCTGTACTTGGAGTTGGGGTCATTGAATAAGAAGTGGCCCCATACAAATTGTGCTGCAACTCGGGCGGGTCGGGCGGGCTGGAGACTTAATTCGGGCTCAGCCCATGTACAAAATCTTTTGCCCGAGCCCGCCTAAAGCCCAATCCCAGCCACCCAAGCTCAGCCCATAATTAACTTCTCCTGCCCAAGCCCGCCCATAAGCCCACGCCTCTGTATTCAAAATGTAAAAAATAAGAAATTTGTGCAGCTATAAGGACTCGAACAGCATTCCTCCAAGAAAAATTCCAAACACACTACCAACTAAGCTATTATACACTTGTGAAATAACATAGTTGTAAAATAAATATACCATTTCCGGGCTCGGGCTGGGCTTCGGGCTTTATATAATATCAACCCAAGCTCAGCCCGAATTTAATTCGGACTCAGAATATCTAGCCCAAGCCCAGACCTAGAACAGAAAAACACTGCCCAAGCCCTGAAAATTTCGGGCTGGGCTCAGGTAAATTCGGGCTGGCCCAACCCGAGTTGCAGCCATACATACAACTATCCTACGTTTCTTCATTGTGTCTAGGGAGGGGGGAAATGCAAAGAAGTCTCAAATTTATGCTCTATGATTAACCATGCAGAATTAATATCAAAACGTTTTGGTTAACTGTTCATAGACCATCCATGAAGGAGCCTTACTTAAGCATCTTCATGTAAAAATGTAATAAACTACAAACAACTTCAAGGTGAAAGCAAGCAGTAATGCCAAAAAGGAAAAGAAGGGGAAAAAAACACTATCAAATAACTAGATGCAAGCAAACAATGGAAACAATCTGGCAGCAACTCCACAAAGAAAAAAAGAAACAGAAAAATGATAAGAAGTTCTTGCAAGATTTCAACCTCCCAAGGAAATAAATCATTATTCTTCGCCTCACCAACAACTCTCCAAAAAAATTCAGACTCGATGATTCGTTAAACCGCCAAATCTATCTCCAAGGTTGGGCCTACAAGGGAACTTGACATGGAAAGAGAGAAGATTCATAATGATTTTTTCAGCCCCTCTTTTAGGACAGTCTAAAATTATCAATCGTGTGTCTATATATATATATATATATATATATATATATATATATTTGTTCAGATGCATGTAATTAAACAGAAACAAGGGCAGTACAACACCTTCAAATACGGTTACACTGTCCAACCAAAAACAAGAAAGTAAAACTAGAAAAAGAAAACAGTCCATGTCAGAGGAACATGTATAAAAATAAATAAAAAAGAAAGAAATGACCCCACTGTGCCTTTCAAACTATTATATATGTTAAGATCATTTAATGGCAACAGCTGGCAAAACCTGAAAGAAACAAGACTGCAGAAGCAACTATCAAGGACCATTCAACAGTTAGCAAGATATAGCAGCAAAGAACGAAATATCCAATTTATTAGAAGCCAACCAAATTATATGTACATATTTTCCAGCAGTCATGAAAACTGCAAACAACAAAACCTACAATGACAATACCTTCTCCACGCATATTAAAACAGCAAACAACAAAACTTAGAAAAGTACCAACAACTCCTCCAGATAGAGTGGGCAAATGATGCAGCAATAACTATAGTTAAAACCAAACGGTAATATTGTCCTCGAGCTCATCAACGTTCATCAGAAAGATTAAGAATTGCTGCCAAATACACAACATTGTTGCATAAATTCTTACGATCAACATAAATAAATAAATGAAAATTGTAATGATAAGCAAATAGGAAAAGAAGACATTTCTTCACGTGAAAGGCAAGCATATTTAATTAATTAGTCATCGTGATAGGAGAAATAAAAACCAAGAATAAAATGAAAATGTGGCGGAGACCGGATTTGAACACGTGATCTCAAAGGGATGACCATGCAAACTACCAAACTGCTCTACTCCGCACTAAAGAGAATAAGTGAAAACCAATACACACACAAGGATTGAATGTAGCCCTCTACTATTCCGAGAATGATAAGCAAATAGGAAAAGAAGACGCTTCTTCACTTGAAAGGCAAGAATATTTAATGAATTAGTCATCATGATAGGAGAAATAAAAACCAAGAATAAAATGAAAATGTAGCGGAGACGGGATTTGAACCCATGATCTCAAGGTGATGACCTTGCAAGCTACCAAACTGCTCTACTCCGCACTAAAGAGAAGAAGTGAGAACTAATACACACACAAGGATTGAATGTACCCCTCTACTATTCCCATAATGATAAGCGTATAGGAAAAGACGCTGGTTCTTCACTTGAAAGGCAATAATATTTAATGAATTAGTCATCATGATAGGAGAAATAAAAACCAAGAATAAAATGAAAATGTAGCGGAGACAGGATTTGAACCCATGATCTCAAGGTGATGACCTTGCAAGCTACCAATCTTCTACAGAACTAATAATACACACAAAAGGATTGAATGTACCCCTCTACTATTCCGATAATTAGCAACGACCTTGCAAGCTAGCAAACTGCCACTCCACACTAAAGAGAACAGAACACTAAAGAGAAGAACAGAGAACTAATAGACAAACAAGGATTGAATGTACCCCTCTACTATTCCGATAATAAACAATTTGAAACAACAAATCCATGAAATTTACAATTCTCAAAATCAATCATTGGAATCTAATAGCCCTATCTTTCCCCCTGAAACCCTAGTCGCCTTCAATACAGTGATAATACACACAATGACCAACAATGAAATCACAAATAGATATCAAACACACAAGATTAATAGTAAACAATATAAAGAATCAAAATTAATTATACCGGTCAATGAGACACTTTTTTCTCAAATCTGTTTATAATCTCATTAAGAAAAATCAGAATATCAAATTCACCTTTGTTTGAAAAAGTACCACAGAAAATTTCCACCATGTATACATACACACATACATGTTCGAAGAACTAACTATACAAACATGATAAATTACCACTAACAATTCAAATGTGATAAATTCAAAAAATCAACGGACCAACTATATAGATACAGATTGAAGGGACTGAACATACAACTATTCATATTCAGATTTGTGTGTGTATGTGTACATAGATGTCTATAGAGATATAGAGAGAAGAAGGGGGAAACTGACCAAACCTCAGCTGTACATCTGCTTCATTATGAATGTCGATTTCCAGTGGCAATTAGAGTTAGGGAGTTGCAATTAGGGTTAGGGTTAGGGTATGGTTTGTAGTGAAGCGATGATGGCGGGTTGAGCATGCCGTAAACAGAAATCTGAACAATTGGGTCTGTGAACGAGCCGAAGAGGCATTTGGAGGGTAGAGAATAACAAATTGCGCCGGTGGAAGAGAGGAAGGAGAAGGTGCGTCGGCGATTGAAGATGAGAAGAGAGTGCTGTCCTAACTTCAGAAAACAAGATGAGAAGGGCCGAAGGTTGAACCGTTGAAGAAGAGAAACCCTTCCCGGCCCCACTGCTAGCTTAACGTAAAATCCTAAGATAAAAATTACTGCTACCAAACGGAGCCTCCAATACCGTATTTACATATGTTACGCATGCTTTCTTTTTAAGCTATATCTCTGCTGTTTTTTTAAGCTAACATTTTCTTTCTTTGTCAAGTAACAATTTTAATATAAAGGCGTCTTATTTTTAAAAAAATTAATAATTTATCATTATAAAAGTAATAGTTAAATATTGAAGGATTTGATTTTTTTTTAATGCTAATATTCCTTTTTTTTGTCCAAATAAAAAGTTTAGTGCACATCATATTCACTTTAATTTATTATTATTACATTTTAAAATTGATGATTTTGCACACGTGTTATCTAAATTTTATCATTTTATTATATTTAGTTTTTTAAAATTGATTTTGCATTTAGGTTACATAGAAAGGTAATAATAATAATAATAATAATAATTTATACCACTTAGAAAAGTGTGAGGATTTTTTTATTAAAATAAAATAATGGTAACGTAACCTAACACCAAACCTTACTATACCTTCAAAAATGTAGGTTCCCTCCATCATCACCAGTTCACCACCACCATCGATGTCATCTTATACGAAGCATGAACAAATCATTAATTACATAGTGAGAGCGAAGTTATGTTAATTTATCAATGAAATTCGAATAACAAAGTAGAACTGATAAAGTGATGAGAAGGGTATGATGGTTATTAATTAAAATATGTAATGTCTCTAATCTATGAATCACGGATACTTACCGGTACCACACGTTCAAAAAAACATAAGATATGGACATGGCGGGGATATGCCTATAAAATAATATATATATATTCAAAATCCTAAATACTATAAATCTAACCTCCCCAAAAAAATAATGCAATAAAAGAAATACTTCAATTAATTAAGAACAAAACAAAATTATCAACAACTTTACCATTTACATTTTACACACATCCACAAATATAGTTGTTCTGATGTTTCTCTAAATTTCTTGCTACAGTCTAAAAATTTATTTAATTCCAGTACTGAGATGAATGAATCAAATAAAAAAATAAACATAATGGAATCATAAAATTTAATAAAATAAGAAGTTCAGAATCTTAGACAAAAGAGTTAAAAGAGTTAAACTTCTAAAATTACATTTAATACCCTATTTTTCTTTTAAAAAATTACAAATTATACCTCGTCGTGTTCGGTATGTATCCTACGCGTGTTTGAACCGTATCCACCCCTTATTCAATAAAAAATAATTTTGCACACTTCACAGAAGTGTTGAACACGTGTTCGAGTTTCGGACACGCGTGTCCGACATTGATACGGAATCCCTGGGAGGGGTGTCTGTACTTCATTGTCTCTAACTAATGCATCTTATTTTACCAAAAAAAAATATATATATATTATGCTATTTTATCCAAAAACTCAAGTGAGAGGGGTAATATTGATTTTTTGTAAATAATTCTAGAGGAGCAAATGTAATATTTTGTAAGTGTGTGTGTGTGTGTACACACACACATATATCAAAACTACAAAAGTGGTAGGTCAAAATAATTAGGGAGCAACACCCCCGCGCGAGTTTTCCATGGGTCCGTTCGCGTTGATCAATCTTTATAACTTAATATCACATTAATTTCTACCACCTTCTCTATTTCAAACACAATAGGGCTATTTATTATACTATTTTTTCTCAATTTAACATTATTTTTCAAAATACCAAGGGAAAAAGAAAAACTAGAGATAGTATAATACTTATGATATAAATTTACTGTGTTTTTCTTACATATGATACAAAGAGTTGGACTTTAGGCAAAAGCATGTAACAAAAGCATTAAAACTAGAAACAGAAAAATTTACCCAAAAAAAAGAAAAGAAAAGAAAAGAAAAGAAAAACTAGCCTGAATTATTTTAAGTTAGAGATTGGAAGATAATTAAATTAAATTGTGTATAAAAGTAAAAAAATAAAAATCACGTGACGGATACATATCACTCTTTATTGAAAAGATAATTGATGACAAGATAATCGATAAAAGAGGTAATGAGACGAATTGATGGTGGGTGACGTGGATTAGTGGAATAGGGAAGGAATATATCTATCTATATATAGTTACTAGAGACACATCCAAGGATTACTGACAAATAATGAATTGATATTATTGCGACTTATATATTCTAATATTCTATAATAATAATATTTTACCCAAATAATTAATTATAACCGTTTCTTCTTTCCTTCTCTCTCTTCGTTCTCCCTTCCACCTCTTGCCGCCCCAACACCAGCCGCCCTTCACCCTTCTTAATTCTTTCTTCTTTCTTCTTTCTGTACACATATTGTACACACACACACACACACGTATACATCCACACACACAAGAATAAGAAGAATATAGTGGTCGGTAAATTATAATTGAGAAAAAGGTGTAGTATCCAAAATGTGCATATAAATATGAGAAAAAGGAAGTTCAATGTATGTAAGTTAAGAGGCCACTTTACTGATACAATATTACAGGATCCAAAATGTGCATATAAATAAGAGTCAGGGTAAAAAAACACCTCTAGACTATAATATTTGTGCAAATAAATTCAATTTATAAAAATATAAATTGAAAAAAGGCTTGGGCAACACATTTTATAATATATATATAATATTTTGTTAAATTAATAAAAAAGGGTTTGGCCATGGTGGCCGCTGCAGAGGGGGAAGGGGAGACTGGAGAAGATTCAGAAGATCCGTCAGTGTCGGCGCCATCCGTCATTGCCGTCGCCGCCACCACCCAGTTTCATTCTTTCCGGCGAAGCTCCAAGTACCAAAACCCAGTTCTCGTCGGCGTGTTCCCAAGCAACGACAAAGCAATGGCGAGCTCCTAGTGTCGACGACATCCGCCATCGCCTTCGCCGCCGCCGCCCACACAATCCCAATCCCAATCCCAACCCAACACCCGTCAGAGGATTGGTTCCTCAACTTGTCAGAGAATTTGTATGCATATTATATATATATGGAGAGAGAGAGAGAGCAGGGGATGGATGGATTTATTTCGAAAGGGTGAGAGGAAAAATAAATTGGTATTGAGAGAGGGGATGGATGGGTTTAAAGGATAGCAGATTGTTTGGTCCAAATTGGGACTACCATAATTGGTCATTGCTGGAGGAATTTGATGGAAAGGTCTTCATGGAACAGATTGTAAAATAGATAAATTCATTAAGATAATTAGATAGATCGGAACAACTAATTTATATACATATGATGGGGTTCTTCTATTTTTTTACTAATTTATGTAAAAGAGAGATTTTAAATGATTCAAAACTAAATGATTCAAACCCAGTTCAGCAGTGATGCAATTGTTGAAGTTCAAGAACAGTTTGCAATTGCGAGTTTTAGGGCTAGAAATACATATATACACACACATATATAATACATGTGATTCTCTCTGATTTTTGCTGCTTTGACTTCGAAATTGCCGATGAAGACGAGGAAGTCGGCGAAGTGAATTAGTTTGAGGAGGAGGACGACGATGGGAAAAAGTCCGTTTAAACTTCAAACTGTTTCTCTCTCCTCCATTGGCACAACTCAACTCATGGGTTTCACAGATCTCTCTCTGCAACTCCAATTCCCAATCTTCTTCTCAACATTCTCTCACTATATATGTGTGTGTATATATTAGTGTGATACCACCGGCGACACGATGGTTAAGTCGAATTTGTAGTTCTGGGTTTATTAATTGGGCATTTTTGGAAAAATAAAATGGTTATTATATTAATTGTGGAGTGTTTTTGTACCAATTGAAAAAAATGTGCTATTTTTTGTTCTAAGAGTGTTTCTTACCGTTACCATATTTCCTCAATATTGCACATCTTTTTAAATAGGGATGAAAGTATTATGAAAGTCATATTTCTAACACATCTTTTTAAATAGGGATGAAAGTATTATGAAAGTCATATTTCTAAGAGTGTTTCTTACCGTTACCATATTTCCTCAATATTGCTCAATATATCTTTTTATCATCAACAGTGTAAATTTTCCACGCAGTTAATCAACAAATTCAGATGCTAAATCCCAAACCCATGCATTATCATAAAAATCATACTTGCAAAACATGAACATTATGTATTATAGATTAGAAACATATTTCAAAACTGCAGATACGGGCTGCAACCCAAATATAGACGAACATATCTTTCCTATGTAAATATATATAGGAACAGTTGTTTCCTGCATATATGGTTGATATAACCGTCTTCTACCGATTTAGGACTTACAGATTTGAGACATTCCACTGTAAAATGTCCAACGATGCCTAACAGTGTGTCCATCAAGACATTGAAGGAAGAAATAATTGACTTTTAAGGGGAGTTTTTATTTATCTTTTTAATCCTTGTAAGGGAATAGTTATAATGCAGCATTATGCTATAAAAAAAAAAACACAAAAAGAACAGTAAAAGTCGTATTAAACATAAAGACACATGAAAAACAGCCCACAATTTTGTGCCAGAATGAATCCTCTAGCATTTGCAATTTAACTACTTTTTTACATGGTCTAACTAGCAAAGAATAGCTGAAGTTCAAAAATTATAATTTCTTTCATCATTTTGTAGAATTAAACCTTGTTAATTGACACTTTAAGAATTTCATGGTAATCTCAACTCAACAACAAGTTTTTTCTTGTGATTTTCCCGCTCGTCAGGGGCGGAGGTAGGGACAGGATAGTAGGGGCCATGGCCCCAGCCAAAATTTTTATTAATTTTTATTACTACAACCTAAAATGAAAAATAGTATAGATAAATGCATACTTGGCTCCAGAATATTTTATAAGGTTTCTAACTTTCTATTAAAAATACACAACTTTCTTATACATTTTTTCCTTTCTTAAACCTTTCAATATTATATTAAACTAAGCCCAATTGCAATAATAGATAAATTTCTTATTGTTTCAATATATTCACTTTACTTTAGGGTTGAAAGTTTTTTTAATTTTGGCTTAACTCTGTTACTGTTTGTTTTATGTGTTTATTATGAAAGTTTGATAAAAATAAAAATAAAAAAACTTCTTTAAATGACTAAT